AAGAGAGAGAGAGAGAGAGAGAGAGAGAGAGAGAGAGAGAGAAGAGAGAGAGAGAATTGTGTGTGTGTGTGTGTGTGTGTGTGTGTGTGTGTGTGTGTGTGTGTGTTTCTGTGCGTGCGTACGTGCGTGAGTGTGTGTGTAACATATTTTCAAGTCTGGGGTGTCTTCAAACGAATGTATTGTTAACATTACACACCTGGGTGTAACTCAATTGTTTTTCCCGACATGCACTGCTGCCATTTTATCACTGTCATAATTCTGTTTACAGCCTTTTTTAATATTCTGATACCTGTTATGAATGTTCCACTCTTATGTCAAGTACGTGTGTACTTTTTGGTCTGTAAAGGAGGAAAATACTATGTTTATACTTTCGTGTATTTTTAACTCAGCAACAATCGATGTACATTGAACAAATTAAACTGTTTCTTTCTTTGTTTCACAATTTTTAAAGACCCAGCCATTGATTCAATAATAAAAAATCGTGCCTTGAGAAATGGTATTCAGTGACTGCCTTTTAAGTTTTAGTTGAGAGATTTACAAAATGAAACATCTGTTTTGTGTCCGGGTTTTTTTCCCGGAGTAAAGACACACGGTTTCCATAGGCGGCGGAATACTTTGGAGGAGGAGGAAGAGGAGGAGGAGGGAGGGGGGTGGGAGAGGAGGATGAAGAATAGGTGGAGGAAAGAGGAGGAAGAAGGAAGAGGAGAAAAAGAAGAAAAAGTCTCTACCCTTTTTTGTTCCTTGCTGTTTACAAAGATGATGATGATGATGATGATGATGATGATGATGATGATGATGATGATGATGATGATGATGATGATGATGATGATGATGATTAACAACAACAACAACAAGAAAAACAACAACAAGGACGAGGAGGACTATGACAACAACAACATTGGGTTAGAGTTCGGGATACGAAGCAGAAAGAAGGAGAAAAAAAATGCTTAAAGATAAGAAGAAGGAAGCAAAGAAACATTACTTAAAGATAAAAAGAAGGAAGAAGGAAGAAACATTACTTAAAGATGTGACGAAAGGAAAAGGAAGCAAAGAAACATTACTTAAAGATAAGAAGAAGGAAGAAGGAAGGAAACATTACTTGAAGTTGTGACGAAAGGAAAAGGAAGCAAAGAAACATTACTTAAAGATAAAAAGAAGGAAGAAGGAAGGAAACATTACTTAAAGATGTGACCAAGAAAAACGAAGGAAAGAAACGTTACTAAAAGACATTTCGAAGAAAAATGAAGGACAGACCATTGATAGGTCGAAGATAATTTTCTTCACTTCACCCAGGTGGAAATGGGTACCCAGCTATAGACAGTGAAAGATCTTGTCAGGTTGATAGTGTTTGAGCGCGTGAAATCCGCAACTTGCACTGTATGCTTCCACGGAAGCCGAGAATGTTTCTGAGTGTTCTCAGAGGGTCTGCTGGGGTAATAATAGTTGTAAAGCGCATAGAGCAAGCTCTTGAGCATGGCT